GTCCTTGAGGTTTTGTTAAATATGATCAGAAAGGACCAAGAGGTTAAAGGTATACAAGTGGGAGCTAAACAGTACAAACTGAAAGCATTTGCTGATGACTTAGTATTGACTTTACAGGAGCCAGAATCTAGTACTAAAAGGGTATTGGAACTGATTCAAGAATTCGGACAGGTAGCAGGTTTTAAGTTGAACAAGATGAAAACTAAGGTTTTAGAGAAAAATTTAACTGTGTATGAGAGAGAGAAGTTTCAGGAGGAGACAGGACTAACATTGGTTAAGAAAGTGAAATATTTGGGGGTTAACATACTGTTAAAAATGTGAATTTATTTAAGGATAATTATGAAAAATGTTGGACTGAAGTGAAAAAGGATTTAGAAATATGGACAAATTTGAAGTTATCATTGTTAGGCCGAATTGCTGTGATAAAAATGAATGTGCTGCCAAGGATGCTGTTTCTGTTTCAAACATTGCAAATTTTGGATAAGATGGATAGTTTCAAGAAGTGGCAGAAAGATATTTCTAGATTTGTCTGGCAGGGCAAGAAGCCTCGAATAAAATTTAAGATACTAACTGATGCCAAAGAAAGAGGTGGATTTGCCCTGCCAGACCTTAAACTTTATTATGAATCAGCTGCTTTTTGCTGGCTGAGAGAATGGCTGTTTCTTGAAAACACTGATGTGTTGGACCTAGAAGGTTTCAATAATGTATTCGGTTGGCATGCATACTTGTGGTACGATAAGGTAAAAGCACATAAAGCGTTTAAAAATCATATTGTTAGAAAAGCATTGTTTAATGTCTGGATAAGATATAAGGACTTGTTAGAAAAGAAAACCCCAAGATGGTTGTCACCAATGGAAGCGAAGGCACAGAAAAAACTCAATATGGAGGCCAAATGGCCGAAATATTGGGAAATTCTGGAACAAGATGGAGACAGATTAAAATGGCAGAGCTTTGAAAAATTGAAAAACAGAGTGTGAGATTGGCTCCATTATTATCAAATAATGGAGGCATACAATATGGACAAAAAAGTTGGTTTCCAGGTGGAAAAATCAAAATTGGAAACAGAATTGTTAGAACCAAAAATTAAGAATTTGTCAAGAATGTATAACTTGCTGTTGAAATGGAACACTCAGGATGAAATGGTGAAATCAGCTATGATTAAATGGGCACAAGATGTTGGACATAACATAATGATGGCTGACTGGGAACAGTTATGGACCACAGGTATGAAATTCACGGCATGTAATGCCCTAAGAGAAAATTTAATGAAAATGATTTATAGGTGGTACATGACACCAGTCAAGCTTGCAAAAATTTACCATTTGCCTGACAATAAATGTTGGAAATGTAATGGGACTGAAGGTACATTCTTTCACCTTTGGTGGACATGCCCAAGGATTAAGACATTCTGGGAAATGATTTATAATGAAATGAAAAAGATATTCAAATATACCTTTTTGAAGAAACCAGAGGCCTTTCTCCTGGGTATGGTCGGCCAATTGGTGCCAAAGAAGGATAGAACTTTTTTTATGTATGCAACTACAGCAGCAAGAATACTCATCGCGAAATACTGGAAGACACAAGATTTACCCACCCGGGAAGAATGGCAGATGAAGTTGATGGACTATATGGAATTGGTGGAAATGACTGGCAGAATCCGAGACCAGGGAGAAGAGTCGGTGGAAGAAGATTGGAAAAAATTCAAATACTATTTACAGAAATACTGCAAAATTAATGAATGTTAGAAAAATGTTGGAATGAAGTTATATGGCTTTAGTAGAAATGTTATAAGGAATTAAGTATAAATAGATTAATAGAGAATTAAAGGGAAAAATAAGGTTAAAATGTGTTAAGATAATTATAGGATAGAAAACAGAGGAAGATGGAAAGGAATTGCTGAAACAACTAACAGAAGTGGAATACAAAAAGGGAGGTGTGAGGAGGTCATTGAAATAAGTGAATGAAAGACAAGATATTGAAACTGTTTGATGTGTTTTAAATTGTTTTTGTTCTGTTTTGTTAGTTTAATGTGTTAGTGTTATGTATTGTTTTTGTATTGTACTGTTTATTTTTATTTTGTAATGTTTAAATTGTTGGAAAAGTAATAAATATTATTTTTTTTTAAAAATAAAAATATTGTGTTCTTTTAAGACAAGCTTCCCCAACCTGGTACCCTTAAAATGTTTTAGGACTACAGCATCCATCAATCCTAACCATCAGATACACTAGCTGAAGCTTGTGGGTCTTAGGACAAAGCATTTGGAGGTAGGGGAAGGCTGCTATAAAACTACTGCAACATGCAGTAGTAGTATTGCTGTTGTTGTTATTTATCTAACTAGACCAAAATATACATGAGACATATATCCAAGCCTGCTTGCAAGAGAAAGCAAAAGATCTGTGTTTTTGTTCATAAATGTTTAGAAATGACCTGGACTTGTATAATTATTTATATTATGTTGAAATATAGGTACATTCTTAAAAAAACCTGAAGCATTTTTACTTGGTATTATAGGTCAGGACATTAATAGGCAAGATGTTAAATTGTTTTTATATGCAAAAACTGCAGCAAGAGTATTGTTAGCCCAGAAATGGAAACAAGAAGAAATTCCGACGAAAGAAGAATGGCAGACGAAATTAATGGACTATGCAGAATTGGACAAAATGACAGGAAGGATTCGAAACCTGCGGGACCAGAGATTTACAGATGATTGGAAGAAGTATATGAATTATTCAAAGAGCAACTGTAATCAACAAATTACGCTAGTAGGATTACAAGAAGTTTTGTAAGGAGAAATATACGAAGTGTTACAAAGTAGAAAAAGATAGAGATATTGGTTATGAGTTTGAAATGTAATAGGGAAGATAAGGAATGCATACTGAAAGATTAGATTGGAAAATTTTCAGACAGGATAGATGGAAGTCAAAAATTTGAATAAGATGTAAAAGTATGTTTAATTACTGTTGAAAATGATATGTTAAAAAACCCCCTAAATATACATATATATATATATATATATATATATATATATATATATATATATGAAATGACCTGGACTTAGGGTTGGGTAGTAAGATGGCCAACTTTGCCAATGACACTAAATGGTTCAGGGTAGTAAGAACAAAAGGGGATTATGAGGAGCTCCAAAACAACTACTCCAAACTGAACAGGCAATAAAATGATGACTTTCATGCTAGCGATCTTAAGGAAAAGGACTGGAAATAAAATTGCTGGTATGATGCTCTTGTACAAATCTCTGTGTGACTGCACTCTATACAGTTCTCGTCTCCATACCTCAAAAAGAATGTTTGTCTATTGTAGCACTAATTACATTAACATGCTGTAGGAAAACCTATGATCAACAACCAGATTTATGGAAATATTATCTCTGTTCATTGTGTGCTGGAACAATAGATACCAATAAAATATCCAACTTTATAGCTTACATTTCAGTCAACAACCTGCATGACTACTTACCTACACCAAAAGGAAAAGAAATGAAATAAGGACTTCCTGATTAATGTGTTGCTTAAAATATTTAAATGAAAATATGCCTGTATTGTATAGACATAACAATGATGATTCTCTGTGTGTGTTCATTTCTGTTGTTTATTGTTGCTCCCTACAAAAGATTAAATGTAGTAATGTTCACTTTCTAAAGAACAAAAAGAAAAAAAGAAAATATCCAATTTTAGAACACTTTTGCTCTTGCTTTTGCTATAATTCTGAATGAACATTGGGCTTTCTTAAATAAAACATGAGCAACCAAAGGTCCTCTAGACCATCCAATTTTCAGATACTAAGCATCTGAACAATATCTGGGTTGTGGTACACTTGTTTTGAAAACGTCATACAGTATATGTCTTACTGAAAAGAATAAAATTAGTATGATCCAAATGACTACCCAGCTGTTTCCACCCCCCACCCAAAAGTTAACCAATTTCAGAAAATATACTAGAACAGACTGGGGAAATAAAAGGGATGAGTTGTATTAGTGGACACCTTCATTTAATGCAATTTGATTTTGTCCCACCAAATGTTTTACAGTGAGCATAGAGAGGATGCTTAAATAATCCATTGGTGCCAAGGCTCTCAAAGTCTTCAGGCAGTCCTGATTGAGTTCTATAGTGAGCATTGATTTGCATTGTAGGCTCGGGGTACCACTGGTTTCTCCTACTGATTCATAATAAATGTCACTTATTCAAATAGAAGATTAATTAGAATGTGTGGCTCTCTGTTGGTGTTAAATGGAGACCCTATGGTGAACCTGCATTTGCTATGGTGGCAATTAGGCACACCACTGCCTTGTTGGAATCAATGGCGACGAAATGCAGATAACACACATTAATTGGGTATGTTATTGAAACTAATTCAAATTCCTGGCAGAAATGGCTTAATTAATGGAAATTAATGACTTCCATTTAGATATAAGGAGGATTATTGAAATGTAAGGGAAGTCAATACAAGCAGTTGCAAGTGGATGAAATCCAGTAATACTTATTGATATTAACGATCTTCAGTACATTCAAAGAGAGTTTGCAACTTACTACAGGACTGGATTTCGACCTGAAAGGTCGGGCAAGCAACATAACTAAAAAAAAAAAAAGATTAAAAAATAATCAAAGGCTAGTGTGGTAAAGGTTCCACATTTCAAGAAATATTCTCGTTGAGATGGTAGTCTGTGATCAACACATTTTTTTAATTGCAGAAATAGCTTTGTTTCTTACATTAGGAAATACTTCTTATATGGCTTGCACCATAATCTTAATTGGCTTTACTTGGACGTAAATGCCTCAGTGGAATTTACAAGTAAATGGGCTTGCACGTTTTTCTTCCTCTGCATACTGATTTCATTTAAAAGGCATTATTATTACTGTAAAATAAAATCTACGGTTTGGATCAAAAGAACCACAGGTGGAGTTCTGCTTAAGTAGCAAGGCTTTCCCATTCATACCTCGCCTCTGCAGATTCTCTAGGCTAGCCTTCATTAACTTAGTGCTCCCCCCAGATGTTGTTGAACTACAATTCCCATTAACCGAAAGAAGTTGTAGTCCAACAACATCTGGAGGCCATCAGGTTGGTGAAGGCTGCTCTAGGGTCGTCAAAAGTAATGGGGAAGGGCAGCTGACCTTCCACTGCACCAAACCTTTTCCAGATGGCTACAGCTCATTCATGTACATAATCCTCTCTGGGAAGGTAAAACTAACATCCATGTGTAAGCCAGGAGGAAGGCTGTTGCTTGGCTTGCTTCACACCTCTGCCCCTCCTTAATACATTCCCTTGATCTCTATGCTCACCTTCTCTGTTAGGGGCAAGGGTAAGAGGGACTTGTTTCTGTTACGACTGCATGGCCACAGTGGCAGGGACAACCGCTGTACATCGGCATGCAGGCTCTGCAGTAGAATAACTTGTCACTGCCGTTATGCTATTAATTCACAGGGTGTGGCCTGTAGCTGAGACCTGAAAGCGGAACTTCGGAAGATGCCCTAAAAGTATACATGACTGAGCACTACGATCGTAAGGATGCTATTTTTAAAACTAGGCCACTTGACTATTATTTGTGCATCATAAAAAAGCAGGAAAAAAGCAGAGACATCACCTTGCTGTCAAAGGTCTGTATAGTTAAAGCTATGGTTTTCCCAGTAGTGATGTATGGAAGTGAGAGCTGGACCATAAAGAAGGCTGATTGCCGAAGAATTGATGCTTTTGAATTATGGTGCTGGAGGAGACTCTTGAGAGTCCCCATGGACTGCAAGAAGATCAAACCTATCCATTCTGAAGGAAATCAGCCCTGAGTGCTCACTGGAAGGACAGATCTTGAAGCTCCAGTACTTTGGCCACCTCATGAGAAGAGAAGACTCCCTGGAAAAGACCCTGATGTTGGGAAAGATCGAGGGAACAAGGAGAAGGGGATGACAGAGGATGAGATGGTTGGACATTGTTCTCGAAGCTACAAACATGAGTTTGACTAAGCTGCGGGAGGCAGTGGAAGACAGGAGTGCCTGGTGTGCTCAGGTCCATCGAGTCACGAAGAGTTGGACATGTCTAAACGACTAAACAACAACACAGTTTCATTACGAGTGGTGAGCTCACCACTTCATCCAGACAGGTTAGCTAAGTATTTAGTTTTTCTGTGACAGCTTGTGCCTCCAGCACATTTTAACTGTGGATTTGCACAAATGATGTTAGCCGCAATCCTGTGTGTATCCTGTCACTTCTTACAAAATACTGCATTTAGATGCGTTTCCCCCTAAGTCAGCTGGAGAAGGTGGGACTGATGGGCCCTTCCCTGTTATCCCACTTACCGTGTGATGCCTGAATGCCTAAAGAGAGCCTAAGTAAAGGGAAGCAAAACAGGAGGAGAAGAATTTCAACTGTAAACTCAACGTTACCTAAGTAAATGGGTGTTCTCAAACTTGAATTTACTGAGAATGCAGGAGTTGGACACTGAATTACCCCTTTCCAGTATCTGAATATCTTAAACACCAATCTGCTTTTCTGGCCTCTAAGCCTTGAAAAGAGATAAAAATGTTTCGAATGTTGTTGCAGGGACGACTCAGTGAGTGGAGAAAAGGTAGAGCACGTCTTGCCTGTCGCTTCTCCCTTGCAAACAACCTGGGAGATATTGTGTTTGCTTGTAATGTCTCTTCTGTGCCGCACAGCACAGCCTACATAGTAGGGACTGCTAACAAAGCAGTATTTGGGGTGACATAGACATGTTCTCTAGTAGCATTTCCTTTGGGTTGATTTGCGGAATTGTTTTTTCCCTTCTTTCCTTTCATGTTAAGGCTCAGAGTGGCCACTGTGTTTTGAGGTTGGGGAATAATTTTCTCCCCAGTGTAATTGGCCGGTTTGCTGTGGAGTTTGGGTGGCTTCAATTCTGGCTTGGCTCTGTTACTTGGCTCTGCTTACCCATCTTGTAGAATCAGAATAATATTAATGGGCAACCTTGCTGGGTTGCTGTGAAAACCAAAATTTACGGTGAAAGTCAAGCTCTTTGGAAATCACAGAACAGGCACAAATAATTATAAGTAGTAGTAGATTTGTAAGAAATTGTTGTTGTAGTGCCACTGCTATCTGTATGTTTTGTATTCTGTGATCTGGACCTCCCCATCTATCCTGGACTTTTCCTTTCATCTATCCAGAATGAGTCTGAATTTTAAAGTGATGGGAGTATGGAACACTGGCCTTTTATGCGTGAAGACTTGGCAGCAAGAAAATCAAGCCAGATTCATGCTGTAAGTCCCCACGCCTCACCAGCACACTTAGAGCAACACAGAAGCAGTCAACACCTTGGAATATGGGGTGGAGGTAGAGGAAGAAGACAGAGTTTGTATGAGTCCTTTATCCAGTAGTTTAGAAATGGAAGCAAGTGAAGCGATCACCCTAAAATAGTAAGAGACCTACCTCCCAGACCACCCAGTGCTTCAAATGCTGGTCTTGGTTAAGCTCTGTGTCACATTTGTCCCAGTGCTAGCATTTTGGACGAACTTGCATGTAACTGACCCTTGTCTTACCTCTGCTTCAAAGAAGGGTCAATTAGGACAAGGGGTACTTTCAGGGAGAGGGGGGGAATTCCAGAGGTGAATAGTTTAGGGTCAGTTGTAGGATAACCTCTGGAAAAAGGTTATCCTGGGGTTAGTGCTTCGTATGAACTAGACATCAGATATTTAAGTTTTAAAGGGTTTCCTCTACACAAGCCATAAATCAGTTTGAAAGTTTGTATGGACCCCAAATTTGCTTAAAAATAGTCTCAGCCAGGACTGCCTCGGTCTTTTTTTGAATTCGGGGCTGCGAGGGATAATGTTCCAAACCAGGTGGGATTTCCTGAAAACGTTTTGCACAACTGCCATAACGGCTGGACCAGGAAAGTTTGGAAGGAAGGAAGTGTAGGCGGTGGAAATATGAAATGGGCAGAGCATAGCCATATGAGGAAATGTAAAGGCCTTAGTTATGAGCTCTGTGATGGAAAGGATCTGAAGTCTGCATCCAAAAGAAGCTTATTTATCTGTTTTAACTCTAACATTCTTGTTAGGAAGGCAAAAATGTGAAATAGATACAGCTCTTTTTCAAAGTGGGGGGGCTGGCTGTGGTTGCATAATAACACTGTCCTATAATCTCATTCCAAACGTGTGGGTGCCTCTTAGGTTTCCTCAAATATTTTATGGACTGTTTTCAAAGATTTCTATAAAATCAAGCCAGCAATGTCTGCACCCTCTACCACATCAGTGAAAAGCTGCACCATGTTTCAAAGTCATGTAAAATCCACTTTATGGGAAGCATTTATATTTGACAAAGTATAAATTTAGCAGACCATTCCCCTGAGGTAAACATACTTCTGGTGAAACTCCACTAACGTCATATGATTACACCAGGCGTTCATTTGTCCTGGTGGACTAGGGTTGGCAAGCCGAAGAGCAGTTGGCCAGTGCTATCCTCATATGCACCAGACACAGAGAATGGATTCAGATGACTCTTTATTTCACATTGCAATGTAGTTTCTCCACATACCATGTGGCATGTGGCAGAAACATGCAAGCCAGGTTCTTCAGTGAGGTACGACTCCATTGCTACCTCGTGGCTCGACAAACTTCTTATCCAAAGCATGTGTGATGACATTGGAGAGAATGGGTTTGCTAAAGCAACTGAACTTCATGTGGGCATGAACTGTGTGGGCAGGTCCATGGTTTGACCTGGTTTGAGGGGCATGCTCAAACCACAGTTTGCCAGTTGGAATATACATGCTCCTGCTATCTGAACAAAATGCGTTCTCAGGAAATCGTCTGTTAGGCAAATGTTTGCATAATGAGTCGACGATTTCCATTGATTCCTACGGTGAAATATCTAATCCGTTCCCAACCATGCAACTTTGACCCTAAAATGATGGGAAAAAACAGGGAAAGCCCCTGAAACCTTGTAAAAGGCAATCTAGGAAAGGGGGGGGGAATGCTCTCTTACTTGTTTGATCTCTCCCTCACTTCCCTACTCCCTCCCACCATAGTTTCTGGTGAAATGGCTACCATGGACCAGCAAAACACAAAAAGGAAGGCTTGTTTAAGGCTGCTTATTTGTTTACAGTATTACACATAGGTCCGCCTGCTTGGCTATCTGGTAAGTTTAACGATTTGATGAATTATGATCACATCTTTTTTCGCCCTCCTTGTACTGAAACATTATTTCAATTGGCTGTACACAGACACACATGTAATATCACAGGCCTCAATATCTGATAATGATCAGTAGGTATAGTCCACATATGGTATCAGTTTGGTGCTTATATAAGTAGTGCACAACCGGTTGGCTGTACACTGGTGAGCTTCCCATGAAGCCATTCCATGATACTTGGGCCACAACTGAGAAGGACCTGCTGTTTCTCAATCAATTTTATCTCATGAATGGATGGGGGAGGGACACTTTAAAGGACTGAAAAGATGGTAAGGTGTCATATGGGCTTATGTTTATTTTGTGGCAAATACATTTTGAATAAGATGACAAGTCAGCAAATTGATGGCATTTTGGTGTTCATTCTTGTGTTGGATGAAGATTTCAGGTGATTAGGTGGTTTCTTTGAATGAACATTTTTAGTATTTATATATCTGTATTGTTTTAATCTATTTTGAATTGTATGTTGTATCTATGTATTTCAGTGTTTTTCAAGTTGCTTTAAGTCTCCTATTGGATGTGTGAAGCGATATATAGATTTAATAAATTAAACTTCAGCATTTATAATAATCTTTGTCAGCCAAGTGGCGGGGGGAAATATAAAAATAGTGGGAAAGAAATGATTTTCATAGCTTCCTTTCCTGAAATAATAATAATATAAAAACAGGTTCCTCATTCTTCTTGACCATGTACTGCAAGCATCTGTAAACCAAATCTGTAAACTATACTCAGTTGGGAAAGAGTTTTATGAACAGCTGATGTGAGGCTGGAGAAGAGGCAACATATTAAACGATGCTTGAAGGGGGGGGGGAATGCTTGCATTCCAATACAAGAACATCTGGCTTATTGCAACAAAAACGACTGTTTTGGTGTTTGCTGGAAGTGTTGTTTGCTGGAAGAAGTGCT